ACTATCAATAGAAACACATGTATAGTAAAACGTTGATATAGTGCCTGTCATTTTATTTGCCACCTCACTTACCACCAGGATATTTCAAGGACCGTTAAATGTGTAGAAACATCTATGTGAAGTGATTGTTAAGAAATTATCAAAGACCAATTAAGCTGGTTTTGGACGCTAAAATATGAAAATTTGGTTCAACACAATGCTTACACTCAATACAAATACTTCAACCTTATAATAGACAACAGCTTATTGATAGTGGTGGTCCAAAACTACCCAACAAAACTTGCCCAAAAACTTGAACGTTAAATTTAACATAGTCCAATTAAGGTATTTGGGACATACAATATGAAACTATTGCCCAGAACATTGCTAACTTTCCATATAAATGCTTCAACCTTATAATAGACAACAGCCTATTGATGGTGGCGGTCCAACACTACCCAACAAAACTTGCGCAAAAACTTGAACCTTAAAATTAACTAAGTTCAATTAAGCTGTTTTGGGGCCATAAAATATGAAAACATGGTCCAGCACATTGCTTACACTCGATATAAATGACTTAAACTCATAATAGACAACTGTGTATTGAGTGTGATGATCCAACACTGTCTGGAAAAAAACTTGCACCAAAACTTCAACCTTGGAAGGTGGGACGCCGACAAGGACGCCGGGGTGACTACTTTAGCCGTTACCATAATTCTACAAAATAAAACGTCCATGGCTAGGGAAATTTTTCAACGTTTTAGAACACCATGATATTTAGAACGTATCGTTGGTAAATGAACGTTGTCATATTTGTCAAAGGCTCCTGTTGTGACTTGACCACACCTTTCTCCCGTTTCTACGTATACAAGATTAATAGAATGTATCACTCCTGTGTGATGTAGACAGAGATATCTCAACCCTTGGGATGAGATATTTTTTTAGGTTTAGCATGATCGCTTTGCCGAGTGCTAAACCTAAATAATATCTTATCCTTATCTGTCTACATCACACAGGAGTGATTGATTATTTTTTCTCTCACATTTTCATACCGAAAAAATACCTTCACTGCGAAGTTGTATTTTTGACCCCAATACACCGAACTATCATCAATTAAATTCATCAACAATTCTTCCCTTTCCACCATTTTTTCCTACGGCAACACATTCGCCTATTTTGAACTGTCGGAATACTGTGCTTGCCATGTTTTGTTTACCTGACTATGTATTATACATGTGTGTAAAAGAAGTGATGATATAATCGGTTTTGCTAAAAGTGCACAGGGTTACAGGTCATGTTGAAAGAAGTGCGTTGTCTGTGACGTAATAGCGCGTGCCAGCTGTCTTGATCGAGGTAGATCAAGACAGGTTTATCTTTTCCCTACCAAAAACGGGAATGTATCTGTGAAGTGTGGGAGAAACACGCTTCTTTTACCCTGGACTAGTGTATCCACACTTCTACCGGATGTGAGATCATGAGTCTCTTTCATGCTCAGGGGTGTGGGATAGGGATATCCCGAGGGTGGAATTTCCCTTTTCTAAACCCTTGGGAATGAAATAATATTTTTATCTCATTCCAACTACCAGAATAAGCTCAGAAACTATAAAAATACATTTTGAATGGCTGCCATTCTGAAAATATAATTGTTTTCCCTGAGCTTTTCTGACGAAAACACATATGTCAGCGAGATTTATCATATTCCATATTTACAAACATAAATTGCTCAAAAAGAAATTCTCCTCTTTCTAATGTGTACGGTAAATATATCGTTAACAGTTTTAATTTCATTACGCTGCCTTTTCCGCATTGCGACATCCTAGTTTTCCAAATTCTTGACGTCACGTTATTGCTGAGCCACTGTGACGCCATGTCACGTGAAAATGGGGTGTAAGATTAAAAGAATCATTCACCCACTTTGGTTTTTTTGACGTCATAATTTGAAACGTGCCAAAACGTCGTTTCACAAACTGTGGTGATCTTGCCGTCGGCAACTGACACCACCTCAAGAACTTCAGATTATCTATACTTTTCTGCTCCTTCCAAACATGGGCTTAGCTTGTGTTTACGTTATCTAGAAATTTTGCAATATTTAGTGATGTTGCATATGCATTGTACATGTCCTGTTTAACCTCAATTTAATCTAATTTCAGAAGTGTGAGAAATAGAGCCCATCATTATGTATGTATGTAGGAAATGGATAGTTTGCCCGTGTGCCGTTAGTGTAGGATATCCTTACTACACATCCGTACATATGATTCACTCTATACTGTACGAAATGCCATAATATGAAGCTTGGTTTTCTTAAATTTCAAATTCTGGAAAAAAGTGAAAAGCAAGTAAATCATGAAATAATTCCTGTTACATCATCAATAGATTTGGATTTGACAATGTTCTTTAGGGGAACATTATAAACATTTTGACGTTTTATAGATATCTGTTTATATACTACAGCGTCGACACACACTTGTCAAAAACATCAAAACAAATGGAATGAAATGACGAACGCCCATAAAAACGTGGACAAACAAGGCAAGTCTGACCTGTTTCACCATCACTTTTAACCACATCAAAAGATGATGCCTTTTATACGTTTCTCCCGTATCGCTGGACCATTAAACCTGTTTGTTACACGTATAACACAATGGAGCACTCAGTAACCTTACACAGATAACAAAACCTTAATTAGTATATCATTGTCTTTCGTGTTTTTTTGGGAAGGTGTTGTGGTGTGATGTGTTCCGCTTGCTTGATTATTGATAATTTGACCATCAAGGTAAGATAAAGTAAAGTAAGGCAAAATTGAATGCTTTAGTGGCTTAATAGTCAAAAAGTGGAACTAAATCCATCGCTTAATATAAAATCACTGTTACCCTGAACTTTGTAAATACCCGAGAAAAGTCATGACGAGTCTGACGTTCTACCCAATCAGCCTAAGAGAAACTCTCCCTAGCTATTTGTTGACGAGGGTGACTTTTTTACTGATTTACCTCGGGGCTGAAATTAAAGTTGTCACGTTTGGCGTAGACATTTATCGTCATCGTCGAATTGTCGGTAATATTAACATGGGAAAGTGACGTTAGGTAACTGACGTTTACATTCTCATTTATATATTACTTTTTTTTTTTAATTTTCAACTTACATTTTGCAAATGAGTGAACTTAGACTTAAAATGACACTACTCGCAGTTTCTAGGGCCATTACAAGGGAAGTCAGCATTAAACTTTTTTGTTACTGCAAACCTGAAATATTAACAACACATAGGACATTTTACGTAAATAAATGAAATAAATCTGAGACACGCGTTGACGTATACATGGCAAGGGTCATAAACACGCTATAAATTTGGGCGAGACGCTTAAAGTAACCTGTCAAGCTTATTTATTTAATAATACACATTCTATTATTACGTGTTTCTTTTTTTTTGTGACAATAACAATAGCATTTCTCAAAATGTGTTTTGAAAAACAGTTTTATGCCGCTCAATGGGTATCAAAAATAACGTGCCAGACTGCAGTGTTGTTTATCATTCATTTTTATATGTATTTAGTTTCCTTAAAGTAAACATTAACTAACAGGATTTTATATATTTATCTTACCTTATGTAACAGTATTATTACATACCAACCACGTGACGCAAAATGCAAGCTTGCAAAAACGTGGTTATTCGTACTGTATGAGATGTCTTTGTCTTTGTGTGTTGACGTTGACGCTGTAATCCAGTTTATCCGTGTCTGTTAACGTTTGGTTACATTTGGTTTTGTGTGTTGACGCTGTGACCCAGTTTATCCGTGTCTGTTAACGTTTGGTTACATTTGGTCTTTGTGTGTTGACGCTTTTTTGTGTTTTTCTTGTGTGTTGTTGTTGTATACTTTGTCCTTACTTGTTGATACTGTAGTATATATTGTCCTTACGTGTTCATACTGTGGTTTATTTTGTCCTCGTGTGTTGACGTTTCGATATATTTTGTCCTCTTGTGTTGACGCTGTGACCCAGATTATCCGTGTGTGTTAACGTCATGTTACATTTAATCTTTGTGTGTTGAAGCTTTTGTATATTTTTGCTTGCGTGTAGATAGTGTGGTAATGCGTATCGTTGTGTGTTAATGGATGAGGACAAAATGTACCACAGCGTCAACATCCCAAAAATCCACAGCATTAACATATTTTGTCCTCATTTGTTAAAATTTTGATGTATCCCCCCCTCCTGTAGTTACATGTATGTTGAGGTGCAGTTTGTCTTTGTGTGTTAACGCCGTGGTACATTTTGTCCGTATATGTTAAGATTCCGGAGTATTTTGTCCCCCGTGTGGTTTTGTTGCAAATAAGCAACGATAGTATAATATGCATTTTTACATGATATAAAATTTACAAAACGAATACAATTACAATTATCTACTTTTTCTTTTTCTAGTTGATGAGATCAAAGCCGTTAATAAACATGGGCGATTTTCACTAAGAAATCCCTTAATAAACTATTGTATACCTGGATTTTTTTCGCCCGGTCAAACCTTCGCCCTTAACCCATGAAATCAATGTTCGCCCAGTGTTAATTTCGCCCTTCACATTTCATTACTATGGATATTGTGTTGTTTAATTATCTTCGCTCTCATTAAAGAGGGCGAAAAGGCGAATAATAAACTGCAGCGAAAATTTCCCAATATACGGTATTAAAAAGAGAAAACAAGCCCTTAAAAAGAAGAAAGTAACGAACAACAGCAAAACTATGATGAATTAAAAAAAAACTATTACTTGTCTATTAATTCACACACCTGTAAAACCCGTATAAAACAATTAACTTAATACTTGCATGACAATCTCCTCAATGAATAATGTACATGTATATGTTCAGAAAACACCTGTAACACAGAGAATATATTTTGTAAGAAAAAAAAACTTAATTTAATACAGTACAATAAATCAAAGAACACTGAAAATCTTGATGCAGCTCGTGACTTAAGTTCGTAAATTAACCTTAAGTAAGCGAAAGGTTTTTTTGGGGTTTGTTTTGTGAACGTGAACATGTTAATTGTGTGATAAGTACGTGTGGGGGTAACTGACGATACATGAACTTGAAGGAAAAATAAATTAAAACCACGTACCACAGTGACGTAACGATTAACCTTTGACCCAATGACTAATTGTCTACGTCGGTCAGTTGTGTTAATGATATTTATGCATTCACTGAACCGAATCTACGCCTGTGTCAGTTCTGAAATTTGTATTCAAATACAGTGTTTAACGTAAGTGTGTGGGAGAGACTTTGCTTTGATTTTGTTGTTAGCTGAAGCAGGGATTTACGTTCTCAAAAGAAAAATGACGACTTTGGAGTTAAAATGGATGCTAATGGTTGTGTTAGGGAGCATATGGTGTCTACATGATGTGCACGGGAACGACTTGGTGAGTTGGTATTACCATTCACGGTCCTACAGTCGACTGTGTTACTGCTCCATATACCTGGATTCCTGTTACCCCAATGGGTGTGTGTCTGATGGTGGCTGCAGTATACCATTACCAAAAAACTACATTGCCCAACATCTGCATGGCAAGACCATTGCTATTGACGGAAAGCTTGACGACCCTGCCTGGGAAGAGGTGCCTTGGTCTGCGTCATTTGATGGTAAGTTTTTAACAACAAATAATTCAACTTCACCTTTGTCATCATTCGTTAAGAAAAATAACCCATTTATATATAACCTTGTCAATACCGTTTAATGAATCTGTCAAGCTATATGAGTTGACAAACTGTGCAATATAATTATAAATTAGATTTACAGTTTTTAATTTAGATATATTTTTTTAAAATTATTTCTGATTTGCTGCAAGTTCAATATTCGAAAGATGTTAAGTGTTGTAGTTATATATGCTTTCAATATTAAAGTACGTAGTTTTTATAAAGTAATGTTCAATTTTTGATATAAATGACAAAAAAGTAAGAAAAAGCTTCACATTTAGAGAGAGCTCGTCATAAGAAGCTGTCATAAAGCTAATATCGAGTCGAACGATTTTCACTTGTCGCGTCATAGATGAAGGTAATTCGAATACTGCGAAATCAGATATTTTTGTGGGGCCCAAATTTCGTGGTTTCCCAACAAAAAAACACCATTCCATGGGTACATGAATTTGTGGATTACGAGTATCCACTCATGTAGCTACTTCGAGGGCCTATGTATTATTTGATGAAAATTACCCACACAGACTCAACAAAATTAAAACCCCCACAAAAATAGTAATTTCATAGTAACTATAATGTAACAACGGTTATGACAAAACCTGTCACTCCTTTACTACACAGATTTTTCCTATAACTACACATACAATACTACAATTACCCGTAGTAATAGAAGTTGTCCCGTTAAGTTTATAATATCAAAATACTAGAAACAAAATATGTTAGACAATACTGATATTTAGCGAAATCCCATCATTGCATGAAGAACTAGAAAAATATACCATACAAGCCTCATTACTAATGCATATATTGTACGCACGGAATAGGCGATTTCATCATTTAACATTTGAACATTATTTTTAAGGTTTTTATATCCGGGTTGGTTTTTCATATGTCCCGTTATTTGGGTAATAATGATGACTTTCATTTTGTTTTGTTGTTGTGTCAGGTCCTATTGTTGTCGTGTCCGGTCCTATTGTTGTCGTGTCCGGTCCTTTTGTTGTCGTGTCCGGTCCTATTGTTTTCGTGTCAGGTCCTATTGTTGTCGTGTCCGGTCCTATTGTTGTCGTGTACGGTCCTATTGTTGTCGTGTTCGGTCCTATTGTTGTCGGGTCAGGTCCTATTGTTGTCGTGTCAGGTCCTATTGTTGTCGTGTCCGGTCCTATTGTTATCGTGTCAGGTCCTATTGTTGTCGTATCAGGTCCTATTGTTGTCTTGTCAGGTCCTATTGTTGTCGTGTCAGGTCCTATTGTTGTCGTGTCAGCTTCTATTGTTGTCGTGTCCGGTCCAATTGTTGTCGTGTCCGGTCCTATTGTTTTCGTGTCAGGTCCTATTGTTGTCGTCTCCGGTCCTTTTGTTGTCGTGTCCGGTCCCAATGTTGTCGTGTCAGGTCCTATTGTTGGCGTGTCAGGTCCTATTGTTGTCGTATCATGTCCTATTGTTGTCTTGTCAGGTCCTTTTGTTGTCGTGTCAGGTCCTATTTTTGTCCTCCCTTTTTGTTAAGGTGTCTCCATTGTTATCGTGTCAGGTCCTATTGGTGTCGTGTCAGGTCCTATTGTTGTCTTGTCAGGTCCTAATGTTGTCGTGTCCGGGCCTATTGTTGGCGTGTCAGGTCCCATTGTTGTCGTGTCCGGTCCTATTGTTGTCTTGTCCGGTCCTATTGTTGTCGTGTCAGTTCCTATTGTTGTCGTGTCAGGTCCTTTTGTTGTTGTGTCAGGTTCTATTGTTGTCGTGTCAGGGCCTATTTTTGTCCTCCCTTTTTGTTAAGGTGTCTCCATTGTTATCGTGTCAGGTCCTATTGGTGTCGTGTCAGGTCCTATTGTTGTCGTCTCCGGTCCTTTTGTTGTCGTGTCCGCTCCTATTGTTGTCTTGTCAGGTCCTATTGTTGTCGTGTCAGGTCCTATTGTTTTCGTGTCAGGTTCTATTGTTGTCGTGTCAGGTTCTATTGTTGTCGTGTCAGGTCCTATTTTTGTCCTCCCTTTTTGTTAAGGTGTCTCTTTGAGTCTTTGTTCCATTTATTTATTGTGATAAAAAAGTAAGTACATTTTATTTCACTTCAAAAATAACCTACTGTGAGTACCTTTTCATAATGTTGACCCATCGCAAACGACACATGTCTGAAAGTGAACTGACGAATTAATAAGTTTAAAGCTATTAATGGAGATATAATCCGTTGACAGTTTTCAGTTATGGTGACTCTAGAATTCAGATATTGCGGTAATTTTATGCTCAGAAATAAAACAAAAACCCGAAACCAAAATAGTTACGGAATTCGTGAATGCCGTGACACGTATAGCAGATTTATTTTTCGCGAAAGCATTAAACTTCAGTGACTTCGGAATATATGAATAATAAACTATATATTTATCCGACATAATATATATGTGTCTATAAAACATATTCTTTTTGATATTTGTATACTTCAGTCTGACACAAGACACCAAGACACTATTTGGTTATAAATGTTGAATGCCTCACAACGTTCTCAGGCGTGTTACGAGAATGTGATGGATCACCAGCAGCATAATTAAATCAGTACATGAATTTTACAATCTCTGTTGACGTCCTGTTTTGTTTGATATGACTTTTGATTATTTATATCTATCCTGCTGTATTTTATTGCAGTAATAATGTAAGTAACGTGCTGATGGTTCTTATTAAAATATTATGTAAATTTTTAACATATGCAAATTATTAGAGAAAATATGCCAACAAATATTTCATGAAGAAGGTTATGCATCATCTTTCTAGGTGATATGTATACTTGTACCGCTATGTAAACAGGGATGAGAAAGTTTAGCTCAGCTTTACTCTGATCTTGGCTGGTTTCCATTTCTATAAGTTGGATATAACTGCAGTTGGATTGGGCCAGGTGACTAAATGTGATCAAGTAGCTCAATTGGTTACAGCGACTGCTACGAGGGTAGGTCTAGGGTTCGAATCCCAGCATGACCTCGATGTATGCTTCTCTCTCCTGTTACAAAATATCGACTACCTGTGTTGATTTGGTTTGTTTATTTCAACATTTGAAATCCCGCAATGCCTTGGTTTCTTTTTAGACATAATATACTAAAACAACAGCATAGAAACGGGTTTGGTTGTGGTAAAGGGAATTGAGCTTATAGAGATTAAACAAACTGAGCCTAGATGCAAAACAAACTGCATCGGAAGAAGAGGAATTTCCACCACCACATGTGGCACTTGTAACATCTCCAGTTAGATTTACGAAAAGTTTATTGTATCGAACATTGAAAGCTCGAAATTACAAATTAGGTCATGACGACGACTGTTATTTCTTCTGTGTAGTTAACGGTATTCCGGGAGATAACCCTGGTGAGTCTTCAATCGTTTTATTAAAGTATTTATATATATTTTAGATATACGTGGTAGTACTTTTCCAAAGCCAAAGCTTGAAACAAAGTTCAAGCTGAGGTGGGATGACAACAACCTTTACGTTGCTTTGTATATGAAGACAAAGAATATGTGGGCAACCATGACAGCTGATGAATCACATCGTAAGTACATTAAAACAGGAACCATAAACGGCGCTTCCATAGTAACGAAACTGTATTCTTTTCGTGCTTTTTTGCATTTTAACATATTGTTTTTAAAACTTTCATTCGTTCATGCTTATTTATTTGGTTATTCTTTTAATGTGACAAAATAAAAATGATTGTTGTTTGCTATGATCACTATTGTATTTGGTTATTTAAATAAACCTACATAACGCAGATTACTCTATGGGTACAATTTATGTTAAAACAAATCAACATTGAGAAAATAAGGATCACATTATTTATATTTGTATATTACCTCTCCGAGTAATATCTGTCACTCGCTAATTCTTTATTTACAGTGTTCAGAGAAAACGCAATCGACGTAAGTATCTTCACGTGAAATAGCATAAATGTTGTCACATTGCAACATTTTGATTTAAATCAGAAAGCCAGATATGTAATCTTTGAGTACGAGATAGAAAACAGTCTTTGATCACGAGTACGTTTCATTGCAAGAAACAATCCTTGTAGAGCACATGAAATGTCTTAAGTTTTTTATTTATTTATCTGTACGGGAACTCATGATGCGTTTCCTTTTGTTTTGCTGTCTTTTCACGCTTTGTTTCGTTTTTATCGGTGTTTTGTTAATATTTTATAACTTCTGTGTTCTGGCCTAGGGAAGGTATTTCTAAATTTTCCATCATAAAACAAATACTGTTGTTAATTATCAAAGTTTAATAAACGGATGCAAACACCTAAGTTGGTTGGTTTATTCATATGCTAATGGTAGAAATCACCGTGGTTTGATCTAACAGATATTGGTCATAAGAAAAATATTTATATTCAAGTATTTTTATTGTTGTGCTTAAATCGTGTTAACAGCATTCTTAAGGTTTTTGTTTGTTATTCATTATGAAGGAAATTAGTTTTTAATGACTAATATTTTATGATAATGTAGGTGTCCTATTCTAAAGATGTACAATTAAAGTAATTAATATTCATTGCTCCTAATATCACGACCTCCGTGATAGATGTCGACTGCTGACGGACTAACTTATAACAAAGGATTTCCAAAGATGAAAGTTGATGAAGACTATGGACAAGGTTTTTTGGGTGTTTTTTTTTTTAACTTATTTTTATTAGCTTCCTGCATCTTATACATTATATACATTTGCCGTAATTAAGTGCAAACATTGTATTTCAATACAAGTTCAGTTATTTTGCTTCTTCATTTCCTACATGATTAGTACACAAGTATTTTTGCTCTTGTTAGGTAAATTCTTACTTACTTTTGTTCAATTTCCATATATATTACATTTTTAAACTTGAGATAAACCTTCTATATATTGCCATAACTTATGCATACATTGTATTTCAGTACTTGTTTAAATGATATGTTTCTGCAATTATTGCATGATTTGTATATAAATGAATATTGGTTTTTGAATAAAAAATGATATATAACATAATTTTAAAGTTGTGAGATACAGAAAGTTTTATATCATTGTCTTTTGGACAAAAATCACATTTGTTTCACACTTGCTTTCATTCTATTTTTTTAAAAGTTAAAATCAGGAACTCGCAGAGAATAATACAATTTCTCTGTGTGATATAAAGATCGATATGTTATTCTGCCTTGAGGTTTTGTTGTCACTACCTTAGTTCTCGATGTGAGGACGTGACATTACTTGTGGTTTTGTTGTCACTACCTTAGTTCTCCATGTGAGGACGTGACATTACTCGAGGTTTTGTTGTCACTACCTTAGTTCTCCATGTGAGGACGTGACATTACTTTGATTTTACTTGGATTAGCATGGCAGGTGTCATCGAAGAAGAAGACGCTTATTCTTCCGGAACACATGGTCTTATTCTTTATTTTTTACACAATGTTTTCCATGTAAATATTTCCTTTGTTCATATTTTGTTCAGTTTTATCGATTTCGAGTTACAATAATGATTTTGTTGACACTTCAGTACTCTCTTATTGTTTTTTTGTTTTAGTTGTTCTTCGTTCCTGACGAAACACTACACAAGTAAGTATTTAAAAATATGCAAAACTTAATCCCAAAGCAAACAATCATGGACGACTATAAAATTGTTTCTTTTTCGGGTAATTGCTATGCAAGGCAACTTTGGGGTACCAGGGATACAACTTAAGTACAGTAAACGGAAGAGTTATTAAGATTTGCGGTTAGGTTACTTAAACTGTATCCACTTCAAGAGTTTCAATGACTATTTATAGCTGAACAATGGTTGAGGACCCCTGTCCCACTGTACTATAGTTTCCCCTATATGTAGTAACCTCCATAACTTCTCCTTAACTTCCGTTAATATAGAACTTTAGAACAAATGGCCAGGGACACCTACGCCAAACAGGTAGCTCAAGCGTTCAGCAGTCTGGAGTTCTGGGTTCGAATCGGGGTCTAGCACCTTGACGATTTTTACAGCCAGTTTCCAATAATGAGTTACAGTTTTGGCAGCGGTACGGGGATCATTAAATGAACCATGAAAGTAACAAATAATAGTATTCATACAATGCTAAATAGTATTTACCCTTCGTACGTTGGAGCTCTGAAGTAGATATGTTTTTTAAGATGATATTATTTTGTTACACTCTATCAACGGAAGAACATTATTGTGCTTGGTTGTTATATTTAAAAGAATGATTTTCTAGAGACAAACTCGGCAGTTCTGGTCTCACAACAACGATACCTTACAAGGAATAACGGAAAATGTTAAGAAACGGAGAGTATGTAAATGTTTAAAGTTCGATTGCATTTGTTAAATGTTTAAATGTTATATACTTTCAGTTATAAACAAATTGAGGGAAACGTACGGAACGCAACTTTCGACCTGAGCCTCTCAAAGGTAAGGCTGTTTATTAATCTTGTATACAGAACGATATCCGCTTCAAAAGACAGTATGGAGGTTAGAACGGTTAAAATTTGACAGAATGATAAAAATGGGGTCGTGATAAGGCCTCTCAAGTATAAAGCCCTTGAGCTTGTGAAGCAGTTTATTACCTAATTATAAAAGGACGCATATAAATTAAGAAAGATGTCAAACTAGAAATTTGATTTACTTAAATAAGGCAGTATACTGACCTAAATACTTAACCCGCAACCTTTACATTAAGTTTAGCATTCCCTATGTGTTGGGAAAACAAATACTGTGAAATCAGATATTTTCGTGGCGCCCAAATTTCGTGGTTTCCCGACAAAACACAATTTCGTGGAAACATGGATTTGTGGATTACGAGTACATAAAACTTGTAATTACTTCGTGGACCTACACATTCGTGGTTGAAGATTACACATGGAATCAACGAAATTAAAAATCCTACGAAAATGATTGCACAGTATATATATGTAGCAAGTTCGGTGATGATTCGTCTTTATCTTTCAGATAAATTGAAGTTAAAACAATTTAATTGCAGAAAACAACAGCGAAACAAATGCACCAGATATTGATTGAATATGAAAGAATGGTTGGTACAAGTGTAATTTATCAATAACTGAGTTGTTTTACATATCCACGACGGTCATAACAATTCCTCTGTTACCTTACATGTTTAAGACTCCTGGAAGTACATGTGATAATTAGTATTTTACCTTAAAATGCTAGATAGAACAATTGCTACTGATGTGTACCATTGAAACAACAAGAGAATGACGAATGTCAGCAGAATTCTAATACAAACTAAAAATCACCGGTTCACGGTTTGTTATGAGTTGAGTCATCAGTGCAGTGTATTATTTTGACATATTCATCGTTATACCGAATCAATATAACGGAGTGTCTGATTGGATGATATTGATCACACGACGGCGAAATAACACAAATCGTTCCCCTTACGTGCTCGTGTGTCCCTGTCATAAATCCCTTATTCGAAGCATCCTGAGTTCCGAGTGACTGAAGAGGACGACAACAGCGGTTCGCCATCCTGATCTTCCCTGTTATGTTATTGGTCTATTTCGGTGTACTAAATATTGGGTTATGTCGGCTATGATTGAGTATTTTATAACTATGTCTTAAGAATCCCTGTCCCACTGCGCTGCCGGTTTTTTCTTTATACAGTAACATCTCCTTAACTTCCATTTGTGTATAACTTTGGGTTGTACACATCCGTTTTCAAGATAGCTCAATCGGTTTCAGCGATGGTTTAACAAGTTGAGGTCCAGGGTTCGAATACTGGTCTGACCCGCATACCATTAAACACTTGGAACACGTTCGTTGAATTTTTGTTTGTTTCATCTCCATTATGATTTAATAAAAGACCCACAATGTGTATTTTTCTTTTCAAAAATGATTTATAAAAGCTCATACTATATGTCCCTTCCAGTGGTGATTGTTGTTGTCTGTTCGTAACGACATCGAGCTTGGAATTTGTTTCTGCACGTTGCAGTTATAGGGTTTTATTTTCCAACTTAATTTTTTTTAAATTATTTCGTCTGTTTAACCCGGCCAGGCTTACATGGATGGAGGTATTGCCAATGAAGCTTGGGAGGCTAGGGAAGAAAAGGGAGTCACACACGACGGGACCATAAACGACCCCGAAGACCCAGGTGGTGTATACATAACGATAAAAGAATTCAAGGGTCACATACGGTAGAACCATTAGGGGTGTCAAAGACCCAGAGAAGGGTTCACAAACAATACATTGGCAGATTGAAATAGAAATCATCGGTTTAAGTATCGACGCAAATGTTAATGAACCGCAACTTATCAATGTATTGTTAGATATCAAATGGAGTTAATTTGTTTTGATATATTATGTGGTATTGTTTTGTAAATATTCTTACCTTTAAACTATTTTTAGATTGTTATATCACGTTTGAACCTTGTATACGTAATGAAAAAAAAACTCTTGCCACGACCTCAATCAATCTACTGCCTTGCTTTCTTTCTTTATTTTTTTGTCTTTTTTTCGATTTATCAATATATAATACTTATCAAATTGAATTCATGAATGAATATCTAACGAAAATTTCTTTTGTTTTTATCAGACCGATACATTGTATGTATATATACATTTTATAAATTATATATGCATTGTAGGCAGTTTCTGGACAACAGAATGGGCGTTACCTTTCCGATCTCTGTCTGAAGGGTCTACAAGAAATCAATCTAAACCATTTGATGATGAAGTTCACTTTATGCAATTTGCCAGGTAACATTTTACCCACAAATACCTGTTAAGGGTAAACCCTCTGTAGCAGTGACACGTATCTCCTACCAGAAGAGTTCCGCTCTGAAATTGTATGTAAAGATAAAACTCAGATAATAGTGAATTAGTAAGTTATGGTAATCAGAAGCTTTGTAAGGGAAATAACTTATATATGAAGACAATGAAAAGTGTATAACTTCAATTTTTATTAGAAATATATATATATATATAAATAATTATTTATAAAGCTTAGATATGGACATATGATATTAATCATTTTACAAATGAACATATAATCTGAACGTGACGGGCACAAACGTCCAAAAATGAAAAATACATAATTATGTGATATAAAGAACATTCTACTATTTCACTTATGCATGCATCAGATCTAGTTATTTAGCAATCCTGTAACCGAACAGGTTGGATTTAGTGTTTGACCTTCTTTAGAGAGCTTATCGCGAGTATCGCCATGACAGGACTATCAGTAAACCAGTGAATTGGGTGTTTAAACCTGTTCTTACTATAGACCGCTCTAACAAGTGTGGCTGAATTTATGCTTAAATCACATACAATGACGGAAACTGTAGTGAAACATTCGTCTAACCCCTAGTGTTAGTATAAAGAATATTTCACACAACATTCTTATCTCAGTGTTTGGTAGCTTCACAAGTGATATTTATTTCGTTGGTTCGAAAGAACCTATAAATAATAGATATACATATATATAAATTTACACATAAAACAACAAATATATCTTTCACACCATCACATATACGTTTTACCGATAATAAAGTTCAGTTTATTCATAGCGCTGCGTAATTAATTCATAAATTATATATTAATTGAATAAGAATAAAATACTAAACGCGACGCATTCACCAGGATGCTGTGCACAAAGGACTTCTTCCAATGTAAGTTGGAAGTATGCAGTGCAGTTTCATATATGTCTGACTCCTTAGAATGTCTCCGGTTGTGTGTCTCATAAGAGTTGATATAAAACATAAGTTGAATGGTCAAGAAAGTGCTGCGATTGGTCAGTTGATCAAATAACAACTCTGACTAATCGAATTAGTAACAGCGATAAATAGTTTTAAATGTCCATGTGACGGTAAAAGTATAAATAAAGCAAAACACGAAGTACAATCGGCTAGCGCTCTCGCCCATATTGGGGCTCTTCAGGCGATTTAAATTTATTTGTCACAAATAAAGTTAAATCGCCAGAAAAGCCCAAAAATGGGCGAAAGCGCTAGCCGATTATACTAGTCTTCGTGTTTTGCTTTATTTATATATATATAACAAACACATAATAAACATCGGGTTACATATATGTAATTGCTTGGGTGTACTTATATGGTTCTAGAATAACCAAATTAAATTACATTTGTCCACAATAACGAACAGTATATTTGAAGAAGTGCATTTCATCATCAAATTTCTCTCCTTTCAGAATGAACCAGCATTTGAGAGTAGCAAGAGGCACATACGAACTGGTAAGGTATATTTTTGATTCATGAAATCCCACAACACCAAAGTATATCGGCTATGATGATGCATATGAATAATATCAACATTAAATTAATCATGAACGAATTGAAATAAATGAATGAATAAATAATATTTTTTTTCTATAATTGCCGAAGTTACCTACAGATTACCCGTAAAGAAGTTTTATAAAGATCTATGGTTTTTACAATGTCACGTACATATTTCTTTATGCTAGCCGCCGTTGCAGGCAGAATATCCTTCAAGAGGATTGTTTCATATGCCGCCTGTAACATTTATGTTATATTATTCTTTTGGGGTAAAAATGTGTGTAATAACGCAGTAAATATTATCAAATAGGAGAATACTGTTAACTTATTAGTTTTTTGTGGAGTTTTAAATTTAGTTGATTTCGTAGGTAATCTTCATCCACGAATACGAAGTAATAACAAGTTTGACAAAAATAAATTCTCCGTTTTGAGCGAGTACTTGTAAAAGACCAATTCATGTACCCACGAAATGGTGGTGTTTTTTTTCAGGAAACCACGAAATTTGGTCCCCACGAACACATTTGATTTAATAGTATCTATATTCCGTCGTAGATGTGTGTTGCGAATATTCTCATTTATATTGATGAAGTGCTGTCCTTGAATAACAATATGGACCAGAATTAAATGCATATAATTTAACCTGCGGTATTCAAAATTACAGACACCATAGACTGCTCTTTGTTGCGTACGTATATCGACATCTAACGTGGGATTACTATACAACCAAAAATACGAAAAACGTGGCGAGTTTAGGTTTCCTTTCCTTTGTTGTGACATACCAGTCACCTTTGACACATTTCTGTATAAATATATAATGTGTCTTGACCAACAATAAATTGGATATGTACTGAGAAGAGAACGCAGTGCTAATAATGACGTTGACGTTAAACGAATTGAAAATGAAGACGATTTCTATTTAACATTAGATATCTTGTTGTGATGGGGAATACTTTTATGCAAATGTCTCGTTCATTTTTTTGACTATTTATCTTTTGCAAATGATTCGCGTAAATAAACATGAAATATGCCCTTTTATGACGTCATAGACTGGACTTCCCGACTAAATTATGACATGTCAATAATAGATATAGAGCCAAGATAGTTGAATTTCAAACATCCAGAATGACTTTCAGAAGCGTGCTTCCCACAATAGTCGCCAATAATCGTGTTCATTTGAAATGAATTAACTTTAAAACGTTTCCATTTTTTATATAATATTGTTTTAACTATTCATCAAGGCTTAATTTTAGCTCGTAAGAGGCTCAACAATTTGATTAATAAAAGGCATATGTAAAACATTGCCAAGACAATATTACTTTCACGTCGCAACTACAATATATGTCAAACAACTCCCCAAAATAACATTCCCTGGCTTTGTGCCAACTACATGTGTGGTCATAATTCTTATTATAGCGAGGGCTTAGGTAGGAATCACACGTACATTGTCTATAAAATATGCTGCTATTGTCATAAGACAAAGATTCAGCCATGAAGCTGCTAAAGTCCTTTTGTTTTACAGCATATGCCACAATTGCCGATACCATGACAATGTTCCCGTAGCTGGGAATCTGATCACTGAGTTTTTGCATTGTAGATTGATTTCCTTCTCATAGAAAACATAGAAAAATCTAGCACCTGACAAATCTATCATTTCTCCAGAAATAATTTTTTATTTATTTATTTTTTCTTAATTTTATTACTTTTTTGTCATTCTCCAGGATACTCCTGCTCAAACGGATTGGTGGACATGGGAGCCAATAGGAGCTGTCAACCTTCACCTGCCCAGTCGGTAAGTATGTCTGTCTGTGAACCTTCATTTTCCACGCCGGTAAGCATGTCTGTCTGTCAACCTTTGCTTGCTAGACATGTCTGTCAATTTTCACTTGCTACGTCGGTAAGTATGTCTGTCAACATTCACTTGCTACGTCTGTAAGCATGTCTGTCTGTCAACATTCACTTGCTACGTCTGTAATCATGTCTGTTTGTCAACTATCACTTGCTTGGTCAGTAGGTATGTCTGTCTGTCAACATTCACTTGCTACATCGGTAATCATGTCTGTCTGTCAACTTTTACTTGCTACGTCTGTAAGAATGTCTGTTTGTCAACTATCACTTGCTTGGTCAGTAGGTATGTCTGTCTGTCAACATTCACTTGCTACATCGGTAATCATGTCTGTCTGTCAACTTTTACTTGCTACGTCTGTAAGAATGTCTGTTTGTCAACTATCACTTGCTTGGTCAGTAGGTATGTCTGTCTGTCAACATTCACTTGCTACATCGGTAATCATGTCTGTCTGTCAACTTTTACTTGCTACGTCAGTAGGTATGTCTGTTTGTCAACTATCACTTGCTTGGTCAGTAGGTATGTCTGTCTGTCAACATTCACTTGCTACATCGGTAATCATGTCTGTCTGTCAACTTTTACTTGCTACGTCAGTAGGTATGTCTGTTTGTCAACTATCACTTGCTTGGTCAGTAGGTATGTCTGTCTGTCAACATTCACTTGCTACATCGGTAATCATGTCTGTCTGTCAACCTTGACTTGCTACATCGGTAATCATGTCTGTCTGTCAACCTTGACTTGCTACATCGGTAATCATGTCTGTCTGTCAACTTTTACTTGCTACGTCGGTAAGCATGTCTGTTCGCCAACTATCACTTGCTCATTTTACACTTTGTATATCTACCTATCTGCAGGAATTACCTTGGTCTCTAAACCGATTTAACACTAATGAATAATGTTAGACTGAAGACCGATTCATTTTTCTTTTAACAAAGTACCATTCGATCAATAAAAAGCCAGCTTCAAATTCAGAAACTTCGTTCTTAATGAGATATTATTTATTGCATAACGTTTACGCTTTTGTTTCTGTTACCGGTCTGAAATCGTACACAGCTATTTAACTCTGTGTAATTTTTGTAGATGGGGACTTGTCAAGTTTTCCAAAGACATGAAAAACAAAGTGTTTTCTTTCCCAAGATGGCACATCTACAAAACTTTGTTTTCCATCTTTGATGCATTGCAGGTAACGAATATTTCCTGACTCTATTGAATTTTTTGTTTTATTTTTACAGAAATAAAACTTTATATTTATGTCGGTATTAATTATTTCTTATGGCAAGTTCTTAAATAAAGGTAATATTTGATAATGTAAAATACTACAAATGGTAATGTTCTACATATGTACAAGAATATATTTCATATAAACGATGAGGTTCGTACAGAATTTTATTATCATGAAAACGCGAAAAATGAGTCTTCGTGATCATACATGTAATGATCGAATCGAGAGTCATAAATCAAAACATCTAAAGTAAAAACAGCGCATCTGATGTTGATGAAACATGTGATAGCAAATTCATTAATAAATAGAAAAAAGGAAAAAACATTAAAAAAAAAATAAGAAGTACGATGATGAATAGCTCGGTGCCAAGCACCATATATACGATAAAGAGCAAAAAATTGAAAATAAAAAAAAATACTCAATAAATTTAACAACCACATACATACTAATTCTACTCACATACTAACAAAAACAAACAAAAAAAGTATGCTAATGAATTGCAATGCCTTATTATAATAATTCTTATAATTAGACAACCATAGTGAAGAGCCAAATAAAAACAAAAAACAAAAAAATACTACACAAGGTAACGTTCTACATATGTACAACAATTTATTTCATATAAACGATGAGGTTCGTACAGAATTTTATTATCATGAAAACGCGAAAAATGAGTCTTCGTGATCATAGATGTAATGATCGAATCGAGAGTCACAAATCAAAACATCGAAAGTAAAAACAGCGCATCGGATGTTGATGAAACACGTGATAGGAAATTGATTAATGCATCTGCTCTTCTAATGTTTAAATTACGTTCAAATCTCATTCATTTCATTTCAAATCTCGTTCTTATCTAATGTAAACTTGAACTGATCTAGTGTTAAATTGAACAAATTATGATCCATTTAAAAGGAAATGTGCATCTGAAAAAATGTGTCAAAAAACTAAATACGTATTGTTTCCACAACTTTTATTCAAGTTTCTTTTTTAAAAAAGACCAATTTGGCGGCCAATTTGAAAATATGAATTTCTTACTCTCCACGCAACGACAAAATTTTAATTGTAGCAAGTGGTTTTTTGATGTACCAGTTTTCAATGTTAACTATTATGAAAATAATATGTAGCAAATTTGGAAATTCTATTTAGAAATGTTAGTCATCAGAGCTTAATAAACCAATCGTCTAATCAGCAAATATTTATAAAAAAAATGGTATATTTTATTGATTTGAAAAAAAGGGGCTTTTCTGAGATAAAGATATTATCTGAAAACTATTTACTTCGAACATATTAAAGAAAATCCCATTTTCATCAACATTCATAGATTCCTGGTTACACATTTGGAGGTTTTGTATGAATGTTCTCTGCGTACGATCAAAAGGTTCCGTGTTATGGTGCATGTTAATTGTACAATTCCATATGATACAAAAATTGAGCACACATTCTCTATGGATCTAAAACCGTGTATCAACCTCGAATTCGTCCATAACAAACAGTTGGATTACCTATCCTTTTTCTTCTTTATTCGTGTTAGGCGTGGGTGCAAATTTACTATTTTTTTTCAATTTTCAGCAATACAAAGCGATGAATGGTATATACAGCTCCAAACTGGATGAAATCCCCGTGCCTCGCCACGTGTACAGAAGGCGGTGTATTGAACTCCCTATAATAGAAGTACTCGGTAATGGATTCGTCGTGACCGTGAAATCTCGCATTACAGGCGAGACCGGAAGTATAGCCCAAGACCGTGGCGTCGCTTTCCACTGATGTACCAGTATTAATTATGTAATAGGCCATGCATTACCACTAAAGCACCGTATATAGATACACAGATTTATTCTCACATTATACATAAACTATTTTCAGGATTTACAATCCTTTGACTGTCAGTTTGTAATATAAATATACATAAGTATGCTATCGCCTAAGTACCAACATATTGATTCATTAATATAATTTAATGAAAAAATATACAGAATCTTACTAAAAATTCGCAGTGATATTCAACTTGATAATTATTTTTATAATAAAGTCAAGAAACTGCTTCCTTGAGATGAAATTGAAGTAAACAGTTTATGCAAACGTTATCATTTTCCTTCCATGTTAAGGAAAACTTACTTATAGGCGCTCATCTGACGAATGTATTAATTATTTGATTAGGTTAAGAACGATAACTCTTATTCATATCTTTTATTGAAATTTCAATCAATGCGCAGTGTATTTATGTCGTATATATATTTGATAAACATAATGACATAAATTGAACTAAGTAAGACATGGACTCTCACCTGTTAACATCACATATGTCTTCCGACAACATGCAGCTTATGCTAGACTTGCTTTTTTTATTTTATTTTTTAGTAAACAGTCTTTGAACCGAGGAGAGTGGGCTTGCTGACAGTACATGTAAAAACCAATTGATAGCAAACTATGTACTTTACTTGACATGACCCATGTAATATTGTATATATTTCAGTATGTTTCTTTGCCTTCAAACTTCGCTGATAGTATAAATGTGCAAATAAATATGAATATGAATTTGCATAATTAGAGAGAAGAATATCACTAATGCCTATTTTACAAATACAAAATGAAAGTATCTTTGCGGCAATTTCTTTATGTGGTATACATTATACAAAAAACGATCGACGACTTTAATTGGTTAAAAGTTGTATCCTTTAATATCATTTATGTGAGACATCCTCTAATTATCCACGTACTTGATCAAGGCTATTACTAAGGTGCATAAAGTAATGAAATTAACCTATGAAGTATATCTAGATCTGATCGTACCTGTTTTAATTTCTCACTTTCATTTTTGCAAAATTTAGTGAAGATTTCAGTTCTGCGGTATTCGGAAGCCTGTGTATCTCGAAATTTTGCTATTCATTCATCTAGATGTTGAGCATAATTCATTTCACGTAGAAAGTTCGACTCATTTATTTTAATTATATTTCAAACTGAACGTCAAGGCCAAACTACAAATGTTTTCAGAGTTCCTCGTCAGAGTATCAGGCAACTTTAAATATTTCCTGGCTTTTCTTGGCTAGGTATTTCATAGTTTATATTGATACTGTGCAAATATACAGTTCCTTAAAATTAGCGCTGTTAAGGTCGAATGAATGTATTGATAAACGGAAATAGGAAGTACATCCCTAGTTTAAAATCCAATGTGCATAAATTACCATTTTAAATCCTTGAAATTGTGACAACCTTTATTTTTTTTGTGGCAGCAAACTTTATTGAATTTAAATCTAGAAGGATTTCGCTACAAAAGTCAAATTAATAAACACGAGTTATCTCCCTTTAACCATACACAAGAGGATAATTTTCCTAACCAGTTGTGAATGGCAGTTTCGATGGAACTGTTTGTTCAATGCAACCTAACGTCCCACAGATTAGAATTGTCATACCCGTGTTCCGTTCAACTTATTTGTTACAGTGTGCCCGTCATATACATTTATCCAAACAAATAACATGTTTAAGCCAAGAAAACCGTTGCTTCCGGTGTTATAGTATTTTGATGATTAAAAATGAAAGCAAATATAATAAATGAAATTAAAAAAATGTGGAAAATACTGGACAAATAATTTAGGTCACATAGAAAGTTTTGGTTGAAATATCGTAATCTAATTAATCTAATTAATTAAATAAAATAATAATGAAAGAAAATGTGGAAAACATTGGGCAATTAGTTTAGTTTACATAGAACATTTTGGGCTATTGTAAATATCACCCACTTATCTTTAATAAAGATTTCATTGAGTCTTAATTTTCGTCGGGTTTTTGTTGTTGTTGTTTGTTTTTTGTTGTTGATTTTTTACATCACAAAATGGAGTCTATTGAATATTACATAGCTATTGCTGCTTTCATTCACTTACAAAAGCGACTGGCAAACTGCCTATCCTTCAGTTAGCTGGATAATTTTATCATTAAAAACTTCTGTGGCATATTGTAAGAGATAATTGTGATAGTGATTTATTTTATCAAAAGATCTCTACTAACAAAATGTCTATAGTCCGAAAAAATAAGAAAATATATATGATGCGTATGATAATGTTGACCATGCCCCTCTACGTTTTTCACAAATCCTATATTATATAAATTTATCAAAACAAACTAAGAAGTAAATAAATAGAACGTTAACTGATATTCGACCCTAATTTGTTTACCTTGGTCTTAATGTGGTTGTCAAGAAAAGGACGCTACGACACACCGTCAAACTTTGTTATAAGTAGACGTATGCATTTATTTTGAAAGATAGCTATGTACTAGTGTTTGGCCATTTCATATGAATCTTTCCTTATCTTTGTTATAACAAAAGCCATGCGAAAGGATATATCCACTGTCACATTTTCGTGGCACTATTTTTATGTATTTTCTTCGGCTATTTTTTGTCATATATTTTTTAAAGGTAAAAAAGGCTGAGAAATAAATCTGAAGGTTTATAATATGAACAAATATTAATGAAAATACAATTAACAAACAACAATACCAGAAAATAAACAAATACAAGTCATTCACCATGTCTACTGTGTGTGATGTATGTATATCGATACGTAATTCGTTTATTTATAACATCAGTGCATTGCATTAATTCGACATATCTTATCTTAATTTTTTCTTGATTAGACAGTATATGTGGTCGTGAGGTTTCTATTTCTTGCTGTATCTTTAAATTTAGTACTTGTCGTAATTCAATCCTTAATATTTGATTGCTGTTGTGTGTGTCATTTCCCTGCTTTAATTTACAATACTTTTCCATAAAAAAATCTGGGAACCTTTTCTATTTTTTAACCTTGACGTGGTTAGTAAAGATGTCATGCTGCCAATGTATTGGCATAAACAGTTTGAACTGTGATAATTTCCAAAATCTTTTCAAATTGTAAGTATAAACCTCATCGCCAAAATTCTTGTTTCGCAGTGATTTGCTTAAAGTGAAAGTTTCCCGACTTTAGTTTGATAAGCTTGTTGCATGGATATTGTTTATACTACTTTCATTTCTATGTATGCCGTATCTATAGATGTACTCCACACAGTCTTGTTATACCTGGAAATAGTATAGTAAACATAGTTATTAAATGTGAAGGACAAAATTACAGTAATACTGGGTGAAAATATGTCTCATTGGCGAAGGGCGAAAGTTTGCCTGGGCGAAAATTTCCCAGTATACAGGATTATCGCATTTAAGATAGGAAATTAATTCCATGTATAATGATTTACAAATGTGTCAGTGGATATATCACATGGTATGGTTTAGTGATGATAGAAAATACAAAGGACTCATAAAAAATGATCAGCCATTCAAGGACATTGTATCGTAAATGGGTAAACTGATAAACAGGTTGCATTTTACAAAAACGATTTCCCTGTATCAGCTTTCAGGTGCAAAGGAAAGATCTGTGAGCCGTCGTAGATTGTCTATCTATCGAAGACGTCACAATAATTAAAGAAGCATTGTTATTCAGAAATAAGTACGTGATAAGTGTAATTTCAATAGCATCGATATTTTAATCTGGCTTTAAAATCTTGATAATTTCCATTTCTTCCATCGCTCTCTCTAAATTTAATTACTTTCTGTGGTAAAAAGAACATAAAGGGAAGATTTCGGAAAAGCCGTAGTTGCATTTCGCAGTTGACTTTTTGGTATTTGTCTGTACCGTTCATCGGAGATCTGTTCTACTAATTGTAGAGGCATTCCGTCTACCCAATAAAACCTTTTTTTTTTTACAATTCTGTTTTGATTTAATTTTCCTAAGACTCCCAGATGTCACTGTTATAATAAATTTTTGTTACTTGTTAATACTTATCGTTTGAGGTAAAAATTAGTTAACTTTCTACTTGTTTAGTTAGCAGCTGAAATTGTTTTTGATCTAGATGATTAATTAAACAAACAAACACAGTCCACATAAAGATTAAACAAGACCTGCTTTTCCCCCATTCATTACCTAAAGACATTTTAATTAAAATTTCAGTATCATCACTATCAGTAATACCACAGGGACTTTAATGAAAAACTTTTCTGGCGAGGGAAAATAACAGAATTAGTGACTAGCTTCGTAGCTTTAATACGAAAAGAAACGAATCTCAGATTCTGTTTATCATATTACCAAGATTTTCTTCTAACAATTATTCGTGAATTTGACATTTCTGTCGGGATGGCTTGAAATCTACAATATCGACATTTGGAATCTAAGGCTTGGCATCATGGAGTGTTCGAAGTCGCGACGTTGTTCCCGCCATAAATTCGTTGGAACATTAAGCAACCATATATTGTTTAATAATTCGTTCCCTATCTATGCAAATTGACAAATATGTGGATACATTTTCACCAGTCTATGAGCTTTGTCACATTTTCATCCAAAAAACAATATTTGGAAATAAAAATATTTTTTGTTATAAAATTTATTTTAAAGTCATGAAACACAAAAAGGCACGATCTTTAATGATTAAATCCACCTATGACATTTAACCTATTACCAAAATGTTATCGGAGTGGAAAGTACAGATCGGTTTTGAATACATATATATATATAATGATTATGATCATGTTTCTATCAGTTTGGAGTTACAGACCGTGTTATTTGCCTTAAAAACTTACTAAGTAACTTAAAATGAGCAATAAAATATTGGAATGAAATGAATACAATGTTACTATAAGAAAAGTTGTTCTGCCTCAACAGTAGTTAAGAAAAAGAATAGATTTCCACGTTTTTGGCCCCTGGCATCACCGATGGGTCCTAAACAGAGGAAACAGCCGTATGATGCAGTGTAATTCATTCATTTCTGACATACTGTATAAATTACCAAATGTTACAGGTGTAATCATGTGTGTGAGTCTTACGTCCATCTTATAAACAGAGAGCCAATTAAATGTTTGTATCAAAGTGGTGAAGTTATTGATATCAAGATAACACAATACATCTCCAGCACACACGCAGGCATACACACATAGGGAGATAATAGCCAGGTGGCATAGGACTAGTAGTTAGCGCCTGATAAGGCAGCTCCTGCGAATTCCTCAAAACTTGTATATCCTAATTGTATTAATTGTATATCTATGTACTGTAAAACGCTTTAGAGTGGCTTATGTTAGCTAGATAGGGCGCTATATCAAATGTTGTATATTATTATTAAGATAATTTGTATCAGAGTGAAGTTATCGAAAGAAATTTAATATGATGTTTGTATCAGAGAGAGGAAAGGACAACAGACAGTTAATATATATAAAGTCACCTTCACAGGAATATTTTAGACAGACAGCAAATATACTTTTGTATCAGAGAAAAGGTTTCAGATACACAGTTAAGGTTTAGTCAGAGGAGAGCTCAGGACAACCAGGCCAGTCAGTCAAAACTTTCTATCAAAGCAGATGGAATTTATGAACAGCCAGTAGGTAAAAAGGTTTCCGTTGTATCGGAGGGAAGAGAATATAAGGTGTGTAGAAGGGAATTAGCGTTATAGACAATCAGTTATTATGGGATTGTTAGAGAAAAGCTGTAGACAGCAAGTAATTATAATGGTTTTCTTAAGAGAGAAGATATCATTGAAAGTCATCAAATATAAGAACTGTATCGACGGGAAACGATTAACAGACTGTTAATATGAACAAATACAAGAATATCATTAGAGAGACGTTATAGATACTGTAGCATGAAGAATTGGTCTGTATTTGAAGAAAAGCACAGACGACCAATGAAAGCAGCTTTGAGAGGAGATTACAGACAGACAGTAAATATAAGTTTGTTGAAAGAAATTATCGACATCCAGGTAATATGATATGTACTACCAGAGGAAGTCATTATCAGCCAGTAAATATGAAGCTTACATGTACTTTTAGAAAGAATGTTTAGACATCTAATAAATAAATCGCTAATGTAGAACAGTATGGCATTAGAAAACAACTCAAGCTGACAGCCTCTTCATGACAACTTGTTTTATTAAATACTATAGATAGCGATCACACGAAGCATGGACACACGCATGACATACATTGAAAGAAATGTATCTAGAATGTCTGAAGCAACATCACGTGACTGAATTACTTTCTATGTAACAACTGGAGTATGGGAATTTGCTGTCCAGGGAAACGTGTCGATAACCGCGGAAGACTCATAGGTTTTGTAGTGAGATATATAATTACAAAAGGAGTTGTGTATATAGTTGACAGTATATTAAAGATTTATACAGTATCCCATTACCAGAAGAGGAAAGCCTACAGAGGCATAGTGGCGAGGATACCACTTTGACTAGACGAAACGCCTCATGGTTGGCGAGTATCTCGTCATGGTTGTCTTACATTGTGTTTTATTGTTATCGGAGATATCTACTAACAGTGGAAAAATAATGGGCCCTTTCCAGTGTATTATCAATTAGATGAGAACTAATTACATTAAGTAACAGGTGACCTCATTCCATATTTGAATGTTTAATTTGTGACAGACAAATGGGACGTCAACACGACCGATGTGACACGCGTATGATCACGCTTCGTGGTGTTTATGTTAGGTGCCGGACCTCCGGCCAGTGTCCAGTGTCCAATCTTGTCACGTGATTCATTGGTCAGTTGTGGTCAATACGTGTCACCACGGTCATTATGGATATATAATCACCCGACCGCGTTCTCTGAGTGGCTCCGTGGGAATAGGTTTCATAAAAGATTCAGGAAAAGATGTTAAATACCCTTCGATTGTTGATATCTTGGGTGTTAGCGATCGTTTATCGTCATCTGATCGCCTCCCCAAACCCGATAATAGCCGTCTGTTTGTCATA